ACAGGAACTATGCTTTGTTCAATTTTCTTCATTCAATGTTATGATATTTTATAAAATGTCCTTTAAATATACTGACACCTGTATTAGTACTATATAACCGTTCATATATATTGCAAATAATACTAGTATTATCTTCATTTCATGAAAAATAGTTCCAAATCGGATGATATGGTCTGCTTTTTTTTATTTGCTTTTTACTTTTATTATTTTCGCTAACTATATTTTTATTTTCACTAGCTTCACTAAATCTATTTTCATTTTCACTAGTTTCACTAAATCTTTTACTAACATCACTGAATCTATTTTCATTATCACTAGCATCACTGAATCTATTTTCATTTTCATCTTCACTTACTATTCTACTATTCATATTTTCTATTTCATTTTCGGTAATTACTTCATTGACTGTATCTTTTTCTTCCTCATCTATTACTACAAGCTCATGAATATTCATTATTGAATTCTATAAGTATCGATATTTTTTAAAAATTTAGTGCAAACCTGAATATTAAAGAATTATTTCAAGATTTTTAATTATTTAAATTATATGTATAAATGAGTAAAACAATTAATATATTATATCTTTATTTATTATTGAATTGAAAATTATAATAATTATTTTCTTTGTGCTTCGCAATTACATAATAAATTTATATCTGCATGATAAATATTTGATTAGTCATATAAGTATTACATAAATCTCTTAAAAATTACATAAACTCTTAAAAATTGTATAAATTTTTTTAAAAATTACATACTAATTATCTAATTTCTTCTAATATTTTAAGATATCAATACTTCATTTATTTAATTGCTCTGTATATTAAATATTAAATATTCAGTTGATATATATTAAATTGTTTTGTAAATTATATACTAATTGCACATTGCTATTTAATATTTATGAATATGAGTATTACTAAAAGAAAACCCAACAATTTAAATATAAATCATCTTTAAATTGTCAGGTTTTCTTTTAGCAAAACTCATATATATTTATTCAAATAATAAAAATTTTAATTAATTACATAAATCTTGCGCAAATTTGTAATTAGTTGTAGGTGTACACAAAAATAGGTTCATGTAAAAAGTAATCACAAGAGCAAAATTTACTTTCTGATATTTAATATATTATTAGCCCTTAAGTGAATTGTTTTCAAAATCATATAATGCTAAAAGTTACTTTATTTGCATAGTTGTGAACTTCAGAAAATCAAATTAAGTGAAAAAATAATTATAAAAATCCTAATATCCTCATTCTTGATCTTGTATCTCTTGCGTGTTGTATCGTGCTATACTTTCTTGATCTTGATCAGCTGCTCATTCTGAACAGATTATATAAAAACTAAAAAAAAAATATATGAAATGGAAGATTGAGTACTTTTTTCATGTTATATATTTTTATTCCAAATAAAAATTGTGCTATATTACTGTGTGTTTTGAATTTTAGAAAACAATATATAATAATTTTAAAAATCTTTATCATTACATATAATCATTTTACAAATATTTCTTTGAAAAATATATTTATATAATGTTTTAGGATTCTGTGCTGTGCTAACCTTGTGTATCTAAAATGATCTTTTTAAATTTAGAAAAATTGGTCTACCAAAATAATTATAACATTATAATATTATTAATCGTAATCACTGCTGTTGTACAAAACATATAATTGATTAATTTAATTTATAAAAAGTTAATATAATGGCCAAAATAAAATTTGATACTTGCGTTCATTAACAAACTAAAATACAAATTGTATTTAACAAAAACATGTGAAAAGCAATATCTGTCTAGATTTTTTATAATATATAATATTATATGCCTATATTATTTTATTTACTTAGTAAAATATTAAGTTTAACCAGTTATACAAAAAATCAAACTAGTTATTATAAACGGTTATTCATATAAAAACTGAACTAGTTATTATAGTTTATAACATATTAACAAACGTGATAAGCCAGCTAGTTTAAACAAGTTTGGCTTAAATAATAATGGTTTGAGTCTCGAACTAAGTCAATATAGTTTAATTTTAACTACTTAACATCTCTAAATTTGATTGACCAAACCTATAAAATAATTATGTAAATTATACTACCATTAGCAAAGAAACTTTATGTATTATGAGCTATGTTCCAAACTTTTATATTTATTTTTTGCACGTATTAATAAAAAAAAATTATATATTTCGAGTCTCGTGTTTTTTTTAATTTGCTTATGTGAATTTATTATAAACTTAAAAGCAGATGCAGTATATTGATTTCTAAAACTTCTAATAGTTATTTATTCAATATGATTTGGAAAACATATAAGCAAGAGCAGATTTAGGAGAATATCCGTCAAAAAAACCCTTAAGTTGATTGATATTATTATTAAAAATATAAAAAAAATTAGTAAATACTAATAATAATAATACATTAGAGAAGCATGAAAGCAATATACACTAGACGATGCAAAGCTTGTTGCTGTACCTCTATAGATCTATTATAAAATAATTCAACACTTCAGCAAGAACAACTCTGAGTATAAAAAGTAAGTTTGCAGAAATAATTATTTGGTAATTTTGTATACTAGCTGCTTTACAAGCAATATTGGTGTGTTGTAAGAAGCCAGTTAATCTACTGGTCAATATATCAGGTAAGCATACCTATTTCTGGGGATCATTCTATTTCTGTGGATTCTACATTCTACCTATTTATTGTTGGCCAATTAGTTAATTTGTAAGTAAAATAAAGTTTAAAGTTTGTTACACCGTTTATATATATATATAAAAATATATATTCTAAAAGCATCTTTTTTTTTTTTGTGTAAAAATTTTATTTTCTCTTATTATTTGCGCCAAGATAATTGTCTTTATAATGGCAAAACCTGATTTATAACACATTAATCTTTCAAAATTTAAACAAAAAAAAAAAAAACAATATTTAATGATTTCAAATATAATAAAGAACTCACCAATCTGTAAAACACATGTTTAGACACATGTTTTATTACATGTTTTTTTATTTAAGACACTTGTTAAAAATAATCATTTTTTTACTACATCGTGATCAATTAAACAAAACTTAAATAACCAAAGGTCCCATGACCAATTCCACGATTGGTGACTAATGCACCATGAATTTAAACTCTGTAAAAAAAAAACAAAAAAAAATCTTCATATTTGCAACACAAATCTTATATTTTTCTTGTACTTACATACACAGGTCGAAAACTAAAAAATCAGTAAATTTACTGATTGTATATAAATTTTTAAATCAATACAAACTGACATTC